AAATGAATTGATTTGAATGCAGCATCCTTATTAAGGTTCATATTCCTCTGTACAGTTTACAAGGATGGTCAGCATGAGACGAGGTGCCACGATCTGCTAACCTCCACGAGGCACTTCGTAAATCTTCTCAGTTCTGCTGACATGACTATGACTAACATCTTCACAGTGTTTGTATCTGTTATGTTTGACAAAGTGTGAGGACAAGGCCTTTGTCATCACAAACGTACACAGCTCACACCTCACGTGGTGTCAGCTTTGACCCACTACACTTTATTACTATCATTAGATAGATCGGTGCACTCTCCCTTCGGTGTGAGCTGCTATCAATTATGCAGCCATCTTTCAATTATTGTATATTGTGAAAGTACCTGCTAATGAATTGTGAAACCACTGTGTTATGGTGTGATTGTACTGGGCAATAACCAGCTACTGTACACAGGCATCTTTTTCAATTAGATGCAGGTGGTGGTTTTTCAGTCATTAAGAGTATTTGGTGTAAGGAGGTCCACCTTACACTTAGCCAAAGGTGTTTCCGCAGTAGCTGTTAGCCAGCAGCATCTCAGCCCCAATGCAAAGCCACTGCTGCAAGTAAGAGGACTCCAAAGACAACATGAGAGCGCCCACTGTGATTTTCACTGGGGATTTTGATATTCACACCTGTGCTAGGTGTTGTTTGGGAGTCTGATAAGCATGTGTGAAACCAGAGGGGTGGCTAGAATGGGAACCTTATTTGAAGGGGGGAAAAAATCATTTCCCGATAAATCTATGAAGGAAAGAGCTATTGTCTTGTATTTTTATGTGTAACAATAAAAGGGGACAAAGCTAATCAAGCACGGTGTATCTTAGATACCAGCCATGTGTCTAATTGAAGCTGCACAGGGCCATATGGCTGTGTGCAAAAAATAGAACTGCCCAATAACGGCATGAAGATTCAAGCAGCATGTGGACAAATAAAATGTTTCCAACTTCATTGCCAGTCTGATTGTTACGGACTACACGTCTTAGGAGCGAGGGGTCTGTCTCTGAGCTGCAGCAATGATCCATACAGTGGGAAGGCTTTCCACCAAAATGTCTTCGGACACAATAATCTTCTGTATATGAAGAAATCACAGACCCCATCATTACAGGATCAGAGGCTGAAAAACAAAGCAGGGGAGTTGCTCCTCCTCTCTCCTTGCTAGTGATGTTCAGAGGCAGCCTGTTACCGGAGGTGTTAATTGGCAAATTCAGTACAAGTCAAGAGCATGTTCTCTGTCGTCCTCGCCCAGCAAGGCTAGGTCATTAAACCGAGAATGGATTCTTTCATGCTGCCTTAACCCTTGAATTGCAAGTTGCAATTCCGCAAACATCCCCATGCTCAATCCCACCCCCATGAGTCAGAGAAGAAAAACAACCTACACTGATTTAACAGTGAACAAAAAAAAAAAGAAAAGATTGCTATCTTCGAGCTGGACTTTCAGTTGTGCAGTTACATCCAACCGGCTGCCAAATGTCTTTGGACTGTTTAGAAGTTGAGAAATATCCAACACACCAGCATTTCTCAAGTAAAAATAAAAGTCATGTGCTGGGGAAACTGAGCATAATGTGATTTCTCAGAACAATCGCATCATCAAACACCAGTGATCAGTGCTTTTGTGTATTGAACAGACCTCTCATCCCCCTGAAATGTGAGCCTCCTTTGGGGTTCTGGGTGCGATCTCACCACTGCCTCTGTCATCACTTGCTGTGACTGCCAAATCTCCGCTCCAGAAATCAGGGCTCACAGACCAGCACTGAAACAAACACAATGGAGAGGGGGCCGTTCTGAGACTTTACACAAGCAGCGATGGCTTCAACACATTTAATCGAACACAAAGTCAGCTATGCCACTCCTGCACAGAGAGCGCAAGAGTCCAACGCATGGTAAGACAACTGTGAGGTGATACTCTGGGCTCGCAACACCACCAGAGTTGGCATCCTCCATTGCCAACGGTGACCAGTGCAAAGACAGCTGAATATGCTTCTCTCCTGAGGCTCTGAGTGACGATGTTGTGCAGGGGGCTTTTTTAGTCATATGACCTTCATCTAATTCCCAGCTTTCTTTTTTCTTTTGAATTGGTTAATCCCATTCTAATATCTTTATGTTTTTGTCTCCATTTGTCCTATATCTTCCCGACATTGCCACGGTCGAACAAACATTTGTTAAGTATTTGATCAAAATTAATTGGCAGTGGATTGGTGCTCATGTCATTTGTCTACTGCAATTATAATCCAATTACAGTCTGACAAAAAATTTGTTTTACAGAACTGACACATTTTAATTTTCATTGTTGTTTAAACATAATATAGGCACTAATTGCATGATATAATTCAATGTCAGAAACCAAACATGAATAAATATGTTATTTTAATAATTAATTGATTTTATATATAAAGTACTGGTAAAAGTTGTGGTTAGTGGTAAAAAAGGGTTAAAAAAAGAAGAGAATGTTTAGTATAACAAATAAGAAAAAAGGCTTGCAATTATAACAAATATTTGATGATTTTTTTATTTTCTCACATACAGAAATTTAATGTATTAAATTGAAGATTTAAAACAAGCATTTTTACACTGTTTCACATCTTAATATCAGTTTGACAATGACAATGTCAGGCCGCTTGTGCTTAAACCAGGTTGCATAGCAAAATTAATTCGATAACTTCTTTTAGAGTTATCCTTTATGAAAATTGTGGTTTATTAATAACATTTTAACAGAAACATGGTGCAAGTTATGGATTTATCATGTTCATCAAATATTTCAGAGTAATGAGCATGGATATAAACTTTTGGTCAGTTTTTGTTTTTTGATCCAAAACATTTACTTTTAATATGGGGAAACATACATAACAAAGCAGGTGGTGTCTAAAATAGATGTACTATATGCATACAAACAAGCTGTATGATATTTAGCACATTTACAAAAAACACATTTTGAATAATGCTAACATTGTGTTCATATAAATGATTGAATATAAATTCAAAGATATACTAAGTATAATAATCCGTTATAGTGCATACTCCTAATGCACTCAAATAGACTGTTAAATTTTATCCCAGCCTCATCCCATATTCTAATATTTCAGTAAAACTTGTAATGACATTGTCTCCACCTATACGGTGCATTGCATCATAGAGTAACCTCCTATTCCTTTCAGTGCAGTTCAAAACTCCCCAACACTTAACAAGACAATTATCTTGCAAGTGTGAGCCGATAACACAGGCAGAGCAGTCCCTGCATACGATTATCTAAAAGCTCAGAAAAATCAGGGCGAGAGTGCCAACAACGATACTGCAAGTCAGTTTCTTCCCTTTCCTTCCTACTTGGAAATGACTGAAGTCCCTCAGAGCCGGTGACTTCCCCGTCTCCCCGAACTCTCTGCAACACCGACTGGTGGTGCAGAAGCACTGCTGATTAGCATGCAGTAATGATGGTGAGCTGGGCTCCATTGTTCTAACACCTCCCCTCTCCTCCGCACCAATCTGTCACCATTCAGTGGGCTAGAGCTGCCTCAAATGCTTCCCTCCACAAATGAGATGGATAATTAGTTGCCCCTCACGAATGCTGCACTCTTCTCACCCCTGATTGCTTTCACCTTCTTGCTCCTGGCAATTTTGACACCTTGTAATCAGCCTGCTACTTCTCCATCTCAATCCATACCTTTCTCCTTTTTTTTTGGCCCCCTTTTTTTTTTTTTTTTCATAGCTCTTAAATATATTTCAAATCGACTAGCCCTCGGGTAAATGTCCCTAAGAAAAAAATCTGATTTTATATTCTCCTTAAAATGAAATCCACAACAATGCTTCAGCACAGGTACAGTTCACATTACTGTATACAGAAGTGAATGAATGTGGTGTAAGAAATTACACACACACACACAGAATATCTAGCTGTCAGTACGAGTTTCCTCTTCCAAATAACAACGAATGACAACATAATTATGAGCAAGCAGCTGTTCATGATCCCAGAGAGAAAAGCATGCAGGCTGCACAATGTTCGACTGTTCACAGATTAAGCAGACAGGATCATTAGGGATCTGTATTTGCCAAAAAAACTGAATAAATTCTCCCCCCAAGTGCTCATGATGTGATGCAAAATGTAGAATTATGTGGTTTATGTCACTCCAAAATAAACATGCATTATGCTTGACACATTACATTACATCAATATGTAGCATTCACCTTTGTATATACACCAAATGGCAAGTATTTTCACTATTCTGTTAAGTGGAGGATGTGTTGTATTTAAATAGTGCTCCTCTATGTTAGTCTAATGACTCATTAGTTGAGAATGGCTGATAGCATTATAACATAACATCTTTACACCTTTGTGGACTATTTATAACACGCAGGGAAAGGCAGTGTCCACATTCATTTTAGGATGTAAAAGATTAAATTATAATCAGTCTATTTGGGTGTTTGATTATTGGAAGTGAGTCCTAATATTCTGCACTTGTGAAAAGAAGAAAAAAAAAAGTTTTTTTTTTCAAGTCTTCACACCAGATCATCTACCCAGCACAAGTGTTACCAGCCCAAAGCTGAAGGTCTGCAAAGGCCTCGGAGCACAACAGTGTTCCAACACAAAGCGTCCCCATTTCCTCAAACATCATCACACGGAGTGGTGAGAATCACTGCAATCTTTGTGAAAGTGTGAATAAATGATGCCAAAGACAGAAGTTGGTGCTCTCTTATAAACAAGTGAAAAAAAAAATAAGCTTAGTCAATTGACAGCTACGCAAGACTGTTAAATCTGTATGTAAATATGTTTCACTTAGTGAACAGGCATTTAACATATTACTGCTGACACTGTTTCAATATGTCGTCTCTTCCAGATCAAGTAGAAATTTGACTTTTTTTTCCCAATAAATTTTAGACAGCCATTTCAAAGCCGACACACCTTCAAAACAGGCCGCTGGAATTAAGTCCTGCTATAAGGTTCAAAACACCATTCAAGTGATTAAACCTTCATAGACGAAGTTAAATCATGTTTAAAAAACTAAAATAATGAACTTTATAAACAAAAAGGCAATCTTTGTCCATGAATGGATTTGGATGTAGATAAGCCCTGATCATTGTGCGGGAATCCTTAAAACTGATTTTATATCTCTGTTCTCTGAATGAAGACTGGTGTGCAGCGGCTGAAAATCGCTGCGGTGGAAGTATTCACTGTGGAGGCAGAGTAAGGAATTCAACTGAGCGATTTGGTGCATAACGATAACATTTCTAACATGACATGCCGTTGCTCCTGGAGGTAACATAGCAGGGGGGATCTCTTTGTATGGGAGTTAAGTTATGCCTAAATACTACTAGCCTGTCTAATTTATAAGGGATTCTAACATCAGGTCTGAATGTTAAAAACAATTCAAAAGATAAAATGTATTGCAAGAGTAAATATTGGTTTATTTGTTCAAATATATCATATGCATCACTGTAAAATCTCTGATTTTTTTTCAAAATCATCATGGTCAACAAAGTGTACCATTTAATTCAATATTAAATAAATGGATTCAAGTCTTATGGCAGTGTCATTTAAATCCTGTACAGCGCTTGTACTTCATGGCAGACCGGACTGGACCATGAAGGCCGAAGAAGTCGGGACCTTTGTCCATCAGTCTCTGCTTCCAATGTCACTTTTCGTCTTCATTCTTAGGAGAGAAATGCGAATAGAGGTGACTGTTCATTCTGTCCTGAGGAACCACGGCATGGCAGAAAGCGCATTTATCAGGGCTGCTGCTCGGAGGCGTCTCCAGCTCTGTTCCCACATCAACTGCATCACGCAGCCCAGGGCTCCAGATAGACTGCAGAGCAAGATGAATCAAAGAAAGCAATGTATTATTCATGCTTTGAACAACCTTTACACACACCCTGTTAAAGCGCTCCACCACTAGACCCGTAAATTGTAGTATCTGTCACTTCAAACATGTCTAAATTTCCCTTGTCGGCTCCACAGTGTTAACAAACAGGAATAGATCATACGTATCTTACTATTCATCTGAAATAACAAGGCAACAATTTATATATTAGCTGAACATGAGGTTTAATTTATTTATTTCCATAATTTAATTATAAAAAAAACTGGACCCCATGTTTAGCATTTCCAATCTGATATAATGGGCTTTCATGCACATCAGTAATAAAATCCCACAAAACCATCAAACTTGTTCGGATCAGATTCAGACATGCTCTTCCATCTGGCTCACACTTTCAAGTAAAGATGCCAAATATAACCAGAGCATCCATGCTCAAGTAGAAGAGGGAAAAAAAGAGGGAATCAGCACACATTACACATTAAAATGGTTCAAGTTTAGCCAAGGGGATATTTTTGGACTTCACACTGTTTTATCCCTCCATTAGTAAAGACCAATCAGAAACTGATAATTTGCTACTACTTTTGTCAGACCTTCTCCTGTATTTCTCACCTGCTGGGGTCCTCGCACGCTCTCCCGGGAGGGTGAAGATGATGTTGAGTGGGAGGGGGACGTGGGGTAGACAAAAGGCATGGGCTGTTCGACGGGCTCCTCCTCTGTCAGTGTGGAGGAGACGCTACTTAGAGGCCGTTTCGTAGGCATGGCCAGAACAACGTTTCTCTCTGGAGCACTGTTCAGGAAGTCGTATTCACTGTCCGCAGGGGGTGGGAATTTGACACTGAGTTTAGTGAGAGAGTCTACCAAGTCCCTGTCCACCTGGCTGGCGCCACGGGACGCAAGAGATGCAGGCAGGTGAGAGATGTCCACCGGCGACCTTAAGGCTGAAGAGAAGGCTGCTTCTGCCTCCGCAGTCCGGTCTGTGCACTGGATAGGCATGGAGAAATGCTGATCTGGGAGATGACAGAGAGATGTGAGAGTTTCCACAGCTCTTTCTTTCGTACTCAGTTGTGAATGTATTCAAAGTGTGTGAAAAGAATAAGGAGAGGAGCATTTACATACTGGCCCCTAGTATGCAGAGACATAATTGTATTTCTATCAAGACACAAAAAAAAGAGTGGAAGTGAAATAAGGAGTCAGTCTATGGTTCAGGATTTCTGCCTCTCTGAACTGAAGTTAGCACAATCATGCTGTTCTGTCTGAATCGTGGATTAACTGACAAATATCTGCAATTAACCTTTTAATTAGCTGTATTCTAAGTGTTGGGCACCTTGATATCGATGAAGGGTAAGTCAACCATAGCAGAAAAAGAGGACCGAGGCAGTAAAATATTCCGCTGAATATGTGACAGTAGGAGTAGTGCACACGGAGGGAGACTTCACAACTTTCCTTGAAATAAATTATCAGACTTTGTGTAACCTGATCCATACAGAAGGCCTGCTGATTTATTTATTTACAGCAACCTACACATTTAGCATCAATTAAAAGCAGGCCTAGCTTTAACCAATTAAAAGAAAAGAAAACACAATATCCTCCTTGTTCAAAGTCATTTAAAAACTTGACACTGACGTAGTTTTGATCACAAAATGTTTTCTTGTGTGTACGTAGATAGACACTAACCCCCCCTCTAAACATAACAGACCAGCCTCTCTTCCTTTGTTCAGGACTATTCTGCTAAATCAATATTGAACATTTCTTTTATCGGTGGCAAAGTTTTTGCTATCAATTCATTCAGTTGATTATTCATTCGACTGACTTCCGTCCAGCAATGTAATGAACAAGTCATTATAAAAAGCATACTAAATACTGTTTAAAAACCGATATATTATGAGACAAAATTTCATTTGGGCCTCACCATGATGATAAAATGAAGCATGTACGACCTTACAAGCACAACAATGCATGACTTACTAATTTGTGTCATTGTGAAATGAAGCCAAACTACAGAAGCAATGTGTGAAAAACTGTGTAACGACCATCATCACTGTGACTGATCGTCATCAAGGTGGGTACCCCTATATAAACACAGGTTTTGTCAGTTTGTTGATCTGGTCATTCAGGTGTGTGTTGACGTAAGGACAACTATGACTTCAGCAATTATCCTAAAAATGCATTTGTGGCTGCTCTTCAATCTAGGCAGAATTAAAAGAAACTATTTGAAGGCCGTCGTCCTGCAGTCAGAGAGAATATTTCCAAGTGGAAAGCAGTCAAGACAGGAGTGGATGTTTGTTAATAACTTCCTTTGAAAGGGCATGGCTGTTCGATCATAATGTCCAACATGCTTGGAATATAAATAATACAGCACATTAGCACAAACACAGCATAGTGGATACGCAACCTTCTAAATGACCAACAAGCCGGTGGAATTTGGTACTTCAGGACATGAAAACTAAATCCTTGAATTCAACACCGCCTTATGATTCAAATGATTGTGAGGAAAAGATGAAGGAGGACGCAGGCAGAATAACAGCAGCAGGCATTCTATGGTACTGTTTTGGGCTTATAGATTGTAATATTGTAAGTAGCATTAATATGCGACATAAGTTATATATATCCCCAAAAGTGTGCAACTAGTTCTATTAACAGAAGAACAATGTTCTGATAGGCAATTCCAGGAAGCACTTTTTCAACCTGCACATTAAGGTCTGGGCACCACAACGCATGTAAATGGGCTAGTCAAAGTCAGGATTAATCTGGTACCATGCAAAAGACCATGGGACCATACTGCAAGCACGCCAACTGTAAAAGAGACAGAAAAACAAATGCAGCTTCTGGGCTGAAAAGCAGCTCTATTAATGTCTGGGTGAATATTCACCATGTGAAGATCAAAAACACATGGAACAACTACTGTTTTTCTCTTCTTTTTTGTCACTCTTCCCAATTTTCATGCCTGTAACACACTGACTTTACAGATCATTCCATACCTAAGCCCATCTGTTAAATGAGTCCACCTCAGCTGACATAAAAGCCAACCATGAGTCGGCTTTAACACAAGGCAAGAAAAGAAGACAACAAGTTGAGTGGAGAGTGAGCACCAGCAGCCAGGCAAGTGGCGCAGCTAGAGGAGGGGCTAATTTGCATATTCACCAGTCTGTGCACATCAACTGATGGAAACGAGTTTATGTTAAACCCAATCCATTTCAGGGCATGGAGAGATTATCTACTGCACTTCATGAAAATGGATAAAACTGTTATAAAATACAATCAATTCTTTATGTTCTCCATTTTATATACCAGATATAATTTAATAACATCTTCTTTTAAAACATGAAAGTCTGTGCCATTATTATAATCACAAAACCACTATGCAGAGCAAACATGAGGCTTTAATCAGTAGGATTATTTAATGCATCATTATATTCAGAGGTCAGCTATGGCTCAAAGGCCCAATAAATATCCGGTCCAGGTTAAGGAGTCACTATCATAAAAAATAAACCTTAAAAGTAGCAATTAGCTGTTACAAAACACAAAAACAATTTAACTCACCCCACTCTCATCAGAATGTATCATTAAAAGTAGAGAAAAGAAAGATAAAGATTTAGATTGTACAAAACAAAGATATATATTACCGTTTGGCGCATCATTTCCTCCATGGAATCTTTTCAAGTGATCTTTTTGTCTTCTGGTTAGAGAGCGGATCTGTTTGAATTTGCCTTGAATGGCTTCAAATGCCTCGAACATGTCCTGACTAACAAATAAATAAATGAATGGATAAATAAGTTAGAGAGGGAATTAGAATAAATTCTTTAACTGTAGTGTCCACGATAACAAAAACAGAGAGAAGGCTTGAAAGGAAAGACACATACTAGTCAATGCTGATGTTGACGGGCAAATTAGGAGCAACAGCAACAGTGGTCATACTCTCCTGGAAAGAAGACACAATGAAGTTGTGGCGATCATCAACAACAATTATCCATGGGCATGATGCTGACATGTGTACACTTTTATCTATACATCACAAGTGAAAATAGTTTCTTGTTTGGCTGTACAGCAGCAGCAAAGCTCAAGCTGCTGAAGCACCCGGCCATATTATCCTCTAGCACCATCTGGTGAAGTTAAAGCAGACACCACATGTGTAATGCATTTATAGAAGCTCTGCAGGCCACATCCAAATCCACAAATAACGTTCACTTCAGATAAGAATGATAGATTTCCCTTTATCATTAATCAGTGTGTTTCCTGAGTTGAGCAAAAGCAGAGTGTCCTACAACTATCCTGAAAGCAGCTTCAGGCAAAGGATCTGAACTGACAAATACTGAACAGCAAGTTCCCGGAGGAAAGAAAGTGTAACTAAAAGTTAAGAAAAAAAAACTTGTACCCACAAAGGCAATGCTTTGAAGATAGCAGTATGGATCACTTATGGGCTGCACGACTTTCTGAACTTCACAGTTCTACTGAAATTGGGCAAAAGCATGACATGTTCCCGTAACACCATTTCACACAGAAGCAGGAAATTTAAGCAGAAGTGCCATCAACTTCTATGTGTGTGAGAGGAAGCTGTCATTTACTGGATCCACATCCCTAATTTCATCAGGACAAAGATCTCTGAGGGTTTGTGTGAGCGTGGACGTACCGGGCACTGGGTTTTCCTGTAAGGGCTGGCTCCCTCCAGGACATGGTTGCAGGGATCACATTTCATCTCCTCTAAAAACAAATCAAATATATAAAAATATAGATTTAAAAACCACTAACAATGCGAATTAATGCAATCCAAAACTGTTTCACAATAAACTCGGTAAAGTTAAAGCACAATCCAAAGTGTTATAAGCATGGCAGAGGAGGTAATAACCTCGTAAAGATACCATGGTGTAGAGAGGCCGTGCAGCCCATCTCACTGACCTGATTGTTGCCTCGTTGCTGACAGCTTAGCTTCAAGTTCAGAAATCAACTGCTGCTGGTCTTCTATCTGCTTTTGAAGTTCCTGAGTGTATTGCTCATAATATTCTGTCTGTTACAAAAGGAGACGGAGGAATTAGCCCGTTTTCAGAGACTTCAAACTGGAAAGCTTTGCATGGTTCGGCTGTATTGGCAGCGGCTGGCTTGTTTCACAGAAAGTCCTCCTGCTTGTGTCCTTACCATTTTCTGCAGCTCCTTCTTAGCATTGTCCTTTTCGATGGAGACCTGGCGATAAGCTTCAAAAGCTTTGTTGAGCTTGTCTCCAATGTTCTTTTCCATGCCTTGTGCTCCACGATCATCACTGACACGGCAGACATGAGCCCTTTGAGAGGGAGACTTTTTAGATGTTTCGCAAACCACAACTGCCTCCAATTCCCAAATGAACCCTTAACTTTGAAACACATTTTGTAACTTTTTTTTTAAATTCCATGATGCCATTTTTGCAAGTTTTCTAACGTTTGTATTAATAACATGAGAGGTCATGAAAATCTAAATTGTTGCCAAATTGTGGGCCTTGTTGACACAGAAAAGGAATAATGCAATGGGAAAAATCGTGTTCAGTCCGGTTATGCCGTGTTCATAATGTCTACCAGTTACCATTTATGTCGACACAGTTGGTGAAATTAAAATTCTGCTCACAATGAAAACTCAGTGAGAGTTGTTGGATGTCCAGGAAATAAATGGCAAATAATTTGTCTCTAGTAACATATGTATGCAGTGTAGAATATAATGCAAAGAAAATACACTAATATATGCCTGAAAATGCTATTGTTTCCTGTCTGATTCTGGTCATCAAACAACACTGGGCATTTAGAGACATGTACAGCTTTGTAATACACTACTGTAGCCAATAACACTAATGTTTTGAGAGGATTAAATGCCAGAAAGAGGCTGCAACAGTCTCCCCAAGAGCTTTTCATCAATTATTGAATGATCTCCAAGGAAAAAGACACAGTATCAGCTAGTATCTGTCAGGGGCTCTGCTCACCAGCAGCGTCTACATGAGTACTACAGTACAGCCCATGGGCTGGGGCAGAAAATAAGAGAAACACCAACTCTCAGCCCTACCAGGACGCAGAAGAATAAAAAAAGTGCCATTTAAAAAGCAGTTCACACAGGCTCGTATTCTGTTCACTGTGTCTGGCTTCTTGCCTACAGCTCATTCAGCCTGCGTTGAGTAAAGCGAGCGAGCAAGAACTCCTCAGAAACGAGTACCGTACTTACTTCTCGGCCAGTGTGAGCGTCCTCTTACCTTCATTCGAGTCACAGTTTAAATTCGAATCAGTTGTTTTGACACCACCTCAACGCCGTCGCCTGTTCCTCAGATGCAAAGTTACGAAGCGCCGGAGAGGATATGGCAGTGTATTTTTTCTCTTTTTTGCAGTTTTTTTTTCTTTTTTAACATAGTCTAGTTGACTTGGGAACTTCCCTCGGGGAATCCCCCCGCTCTGTAGACTTCCGCCTTTGCTCCACCCGGGCCAATCAGCGCGAAGCTGAGAGGATAGCAGGGTGGTTAGCTGGCTGAGGGTTCTTCCAGCCACCGCGTCTGCAAACCCACTGCCGTGCTGTGAAATGTGTCCCCAAACCTGCCTTCAAGTGTGCTCATTTTATATTGCAAAGCTTTCTCACAAACCTATATGTCATATATTAAATTCTGCCATAAAAACGCATACCTCCATATGGGCGTTGTGCTCACAAAACTGCCCACATCAACTACTTTTAATAGCCAGCACAATACAGGTCCAAAGGCAAAGTATTTGCCGTCTTAAATCGGTCATGCTTGATAAAGCTTTCTTCCCCCCTTTAAAACAACTACATAGTACTTTATCTAAGTCCGTAGGGCCTGACTGAGTTGGCATTGCTCCCTAATCATGGAGTGTGATGTTAATAAAGCAGTTAATATGCAGCACATTTGCAATTTTTGGAGGTGTGGGCACAGCATTAGAAATTCATCATGGACTTTCAGTTCTCAACCCAGGGTGTACTGAATAAAGTCTAACAATATCACATAACATAATAATAAAAAAATTATGGGTCTGAACATCCATATAGCGACTATCTGTGTGTATGCATGCATGTACATTATGATTAAACATTTATATACATTCACAACTAAGCTCAGCAATTTTCTAATGCAATTCTGTCATTTATATATTTTTTGCAGTGTCTTCCCAAAGACAAAGTCAATCAAAAATGTATTTTAAATCTAAATTTATCCTGGCTGTGAAAACCTATGAGCCCATAAATGTGAACAGTTACTTATAATGGAACTGTGCAAGGGGGTGTAATTGACTTTATGATTAGTGTCCATACTTGTACTTGTACAAATGCCTTGTAACTAATGGAAATCCACAATATTACATGCAACAGTGAGACTGCACGTTTTATGGGTTACATGTCTTTTATGCATCACTTCTGACCTTGTCCAAATTTACCCAACCAAACACGTCAGTACTAATAGAACATCCAGTAGATGGCAGCTAAGAGGGACCTCTCAAGCTGAAGCCTTTTTACTGGCAGAGTTACTGTGTCTCACAGCATAGAGGTCATGCTCCACCCATTTTAGCTCTAAGCTCTTTAATGACACTTTTCGGAGCCATTCTATTCGAAAATGTGATTCTATAACTTTCTAACACAACAATATATCATATCAACATGGTATTTGTTTCTGGAACTAGCACACTTCCTTTTTGTGAACAAAGACATTGAGGTATTCATGATCTTCAGTCAATCAACACCTATTTCTTTTATGTTTTTTGTTTTTTTTCCACTGGGATGACGTGCATGTTGGACGATTCCTATGGAAGTTTGCAAATTTACTCCGGATCAGGATATTTCTGATTTTCTCCTGAAGTGTTTACAAATGACAAAGCAGGATGTCTGAATTAGCATCCCCCGCCCCTGTCATGGGTCTGAATTAGTGCAGACCCTCATGTGACCCATTCACAGGAATGGGACTCCAGCGAATGTGCTCCTCCAGGGGTCATTTCCCCGAGTTCTTTTACTGAGGTTGTCATCTCTGACCCCGGATGACATTCCAACCTCAACCTCTGCTCCTGCTGAGAATGACTTACAGATCCAGACCGCCAGAGTCAATTCTAATTCATGACTTTGGCTTCTTCAAAGAACGCAACAAGCCATCTTCAGGGTTTCACATACTTTTTCTTGGTTGCTTTGAACTCTTGTCAATCTTACATAACCCTTGTGCTGTGGTATTGGTAAAGAAAAATGTCATTCCGACTGTGGTGTACTGATAAGCAATGATGCTACAACTGAACAGCTAGTTAAGCGTGTGAGTCATTTTGATGACCACATAATCATTCACCTCAATTACCATTTTTCTCTCTGCTCAGCTCACAATTCTCCCTTTGTTCATATTTCCTGTCTGAGAAGGAAATTCTATTACTCAGCTGGCTGCACAGTACATTATGTGTCTTAAAAAAACATCAGGAAACGGGATAAAACAATTGATCAGCTCTGTGCAGAAATGAAACAGTTTAAGGCCCTGTTCAGTTTTACATGTAACTCAAATTTCTTTCTCCACCACCCCCACCCCCCCCCACACCCCCAGATTTCACTGAATGTTAATTTTTCAATCATACTTGCTAGACTTATATAAACTCTCAAATTAGTCCCGCCTTCACAAAGATAGGCCATGGATCACTGTCAGCTGGGAACACATGTTGAAAGATGTGTGTAATCAATTATCTTACATTTCCATCAACATTGTACATTTCCTTTGTTGTCAGACCATTTTTTAATTTTACTTTATTAGGTAATTCATTCTGAAGAAAGATGGTTACAATAATGTCTTGTGCTGGTAATCTTGTTATATTTTAAACATCTAGTCAAACATGTAGCCCATTAAGACAGACAAATGTCATCTGCGATTCCTTCCTGATGAGAAATGAGGCTCCCAAAGATGTTTAAGTATGATGTTTATGTCTGATACCCTGACCTCGCCACTAACAAAGGGGTTACTTGTGCTTCTGAGAACCCTCAAAGATTTATGTAGAGAAGATATCTAGCGTATATGCATTCCATGTTAGATCACTGATTTGATAAAAATCCCAAATCCATAAAAAACAAGGATGGGACCAAGTAAAGAAGCCAATCAAAAATAGATTAAAAATCAGTTCTACTTAGATTTTAAATAATCTGATTTTAGTGCAAGAAGTATAATAATTTTGTTTCCATGGCCACAATCTTTTATGAAAATGTGCATTGATTTAAAAAAAAATTCCAATAGGTTTGGACAGAATAGTTTGCGAGTGGAAGGTTCGAATAAAGTTGGTGGTATAATTATATAATTTTGCACATGAATGGGTGTAAGATACAAAACTATTTGACTATGTTAATGAAGAGTAAAGATGGATTTGTTTATCTTAGGTTAGGGTTAGAAACTATGTTTTCCCAAGAAAAAAAGTAGGGCAATGTCTTTAAATAACTCAAGGTAACTGTTTGCTTAAAGAGCACAACAGCAAACCTAAGTTGGAGACCAGTGAGCTATGATTCCTCGGATAGCAAAGCATCAAGAAATTTTATGTATTAACAGTTAATAAAAACATATGGGCAAGATGCCACCTTTTTCTAAGAACTACTATCGAGAGTTGCGCCTCTGGTGTGTCAGGCATCATATGGACCAACACTCCATGGAAACATGTCATTATTGTAGGATCTAACATGTTTTCTTTGTTCTATACAGAGGTTGCTGACCATGAAAATGTTATCAGCTATTAGCCAAAACTCCAGGTTGTGTGATGGTAGGGGGTTATACTGGTTCTCTTCTTAAAGCTCATTAACCTTCCGAATTAATGCAGAAATGCTGCCAATCAGATCGACTCTTCTCCAGGAACCTTCATTCATTTTTTTTTAAACTACAAAATCTCATTCTGCACATGTTACAAGGGAGGAATACTGGATTGGCCTGCCGGTAGTTCTGACCAATCAGCATAGAGATACCACCTGAAATGACAAAATTACCAAGCATTACAAGCCTTACTTGATTAATTTTTGTGAATAAATTAATTCAACAATTCGCTATGTATGGAAACAATGTAAAGATTTTTGCCTTTTATTTTCATTTTTCACATCATTAAAGCTTTTATTAGCCAGAAATATAAGAATGATTACAGCAGATTATTTGTAGCTACAGTTCCATCAGGTTTCAGCTGATGTGATCCAGTCAAACCTTATACTCCCCAAGTAGACTATTTCATTGTCTTTGGGGAAGTCTTGGGAGTTAAAAAAAAAAAGATACAATGCTTGCTGTCATAAGGGGTCCTGTTCTAAATAAACAATCCCTGTGTCCTGGCTCAGCAGTAAATTCTAAGCCAAGGAAAGGGTCCATCCATGTTTCCTCCATGTCTATAAAAATAAACATTCTGCTGTAGGTCTGCAGAAACCTGATATCTGACAGAGGGCTGAGCTGAGGACTTTGGCATGCACGGGGGAGGAGGGGAGAGAAAAATGTTGGGAGAAACACACAGATCAGATTTCAGGAGCCCAGAGGGAGGTGAGGAAGAATGAAAAAAAGCGGACTTGCAAGAGACACACAAACTAAAAAAAAAACTAATAAAACAAAAATAAATAAGCGAAGGCCAGAGAAATTTACGGATCTACTTTCTTTACAGGTTTTTTTTTATGATCAGCACCTGCACAAACATTTCAGGACCTGCTGTTTGGTGTAGTTTTATTTTTGATAACTAAACGCTGGGAGAAACAAAGACAGGCAGCAGATATGTCACGTTCAGCTTGGGTCGAACCACATTTGTGTTTGTACATAGTGTCACCTATCTCATGTTTCTGTTGACAGTTTTCAACTAAGCAGAAATACTGCGAGGAGGCTTTCCTGCCTGCTCATAGTATTTCCTGATTGATAGGGAGAGGAAGTTCTCTCCCTGTTCCTGTTAACATAAGAGCTTAGCCACAAAGTAAGAACTACACTCTTACTGAAAAAGAGTAGTTTGCATAAAGGACAAATTCAGTATGAAAGGAACGAACTCTCCATTCCCTTATTATCCCTACATATTAATAAAGCAAAGATCCATTTTTCAGTACTAGCAGTTACATCCTTTTGATGTCAGTTGCTGTATTTTTTTTACCATTACTGATGAGAAACTGTGGAAGTTGAGATATATTTTCAGCTTCATGGACTTCTTGCCAGCATAATCATATCGATGGTCATGTGAGCCAACAGTTTATGTTTAGGCTCAAAACTTTGCAATGCTTTCTAATTTATCAGTGGCATTATGTGTTTCCTACAGAGAGAGGTCTTAATGGGAATCGTTGGAGAAGGGAACTGTCTGAGAGAGGATCCAAAGCTGGTCTTCTCTGAGTTGTTCTTTTTGTACCAGTTCATGTAACCGACCTGTTGCTACAGACTATGTGGCTGACAGATAGTTCACAAGGAATCACAAAACTTTCCCTATCTTTTTTTAACCCATAGACAAGTCTTATACATCCATTCAGTTTGAATGGAGCAGTACCATAATAAAGGGTTATGTAAGCTCAAGATGGTTCGGAAAGTCCCTTTGGCCATGGGGACATCTCCTACAATCACGAGAATAGAAATCTCGCCTTTTGGGGGCATTCTTTTTAGAAGGGATGAGTCTGGTGTAATATTTTTATCTTTTAAATCAATTTGTTTTTGGTTTGGAGGAGATGCTAAATGCATAAAACAAAGGGATCTGACTTTGCAATCCCAGTAAATTTGCAACCAACATTATTAAACTAACACTTTAGGAATGCTTTTGTAGTAAAACATTTTATAATGTTAATGAGCATTCACACTTATTTCTCTTTTAACACACATGTAAAAATCCCGTCAGAATGGACCGTGTAAGCTCACTTGTTACCTTTCAAGACTATTTGGAAATCAGTGACATAGGTTACCCTACCTAAATAAACCCAAAATATCAAACTTCTCTGTCAGGAGAATGTTTTTCCTGCTGTGGTAACAGTGCAGACAATGACATTATGCTGAGGCTGAATAGCACCATACAATGTTTACAATAAAGTTTGGAGAGCTGCCCGGCAGCAAAATGAACACAATGAAATGGCCCAGCGGTGCTGCTCTTTATGTCAGCATCAAGCCTGAAAGAACTGCTTTTGCACTCAGTGTTACTCTTTTGGGACATTTGACATTTACAAAATGAAGGCAAAGCTCCATCCTGCTGCCTGTTTCTCTAATATATTCATACGTTTTCAGATCCTGTCAAAATAATAAGAAAAAAAGTGAAGCAAGTGTGGAACATTTTTCAAACAAATCATTGAAATATATTATGTGACTTTATATTAAACACCTGTAGTGTGTCAACATAGTTACCAAGCCTGTGCATAATGGTAGGTTATCAGTTATGGTGGATAAGATTTCTTACCACTAAGTTATTCATTGGATATATATTTCATATCGTGAATCAAGCCTTAATGTCAGTCCAAAATTAACAAGCATGTACAAAAATATGGTACAGCTTTAATTGCTGGAGCATTGGTATGAGCTGTGGATAAGTCTTGTAGATTAATAAATACAATTTATTTTGCAGTTTGTGATGTTTTATGACTCTAGTGAATGGATCGGTTCAAACTTACCAACTGCTCTAAATCATGCCCAGGTTTGGCATTACTAAGAATGCTGTAATAAGGAATATTAAAGACCATTCAGTCACTCAAGCAGCTATATAATCTGTTTCAGACACGACAAAATATTAGTCTGCAATTTTCGTCACAGAACTGCTTATTGACTCATTTTTGCAAAACTGAGAGGAATCATGAACTGACCCCTATCCCAGTGCCTCAATTAAAGACTGCAGAGTTCATCAATCAAAGACCGCTAGCATTTCTTTCACATTCTGTCATCAGTGGTTGGGTGCAGCTAATTAACAGAGCAGCTCTTGGACAGCAAAAGATGGGAAATGCATAATTGCTCTACAGTCTAACATCAGAATATGAAATAGCTTTTTTGGAAAATGAAGGCTGAAAACACTTTCTTGTCTGCAAATTTGTTTTGTTCCAACATTTTCTTTTCTCCAAATGGGCAAAGGCTAATAATTAGCATTTGACGAAACTGTCACACGTTAAAAAGAGGTAGACATTCTGCATTTCAAAGGTTCGAAAAATATACTCACAAATATCACATTGTAGTTTTCAACATTCACCCTTTGGACCTGGAACTGTCACAAATGAGAAATTGCATGGCTTTTATCATACTGTGTTCAAAAATGCTTCCATCCAAATAGCAGGACATTAATAGTAGTCACAACACAGACTGCCACACAACACAACCATATTTTAATGCCTATCTCTCTCAGTAATGAGGACAACTTTCCCCTGGGATATGCCAAAGTGAAACACTGGAGTACCGTGTCATGTTGTACATGTAAAGTTTACTGGACCTCCCTGTGAAGCACTGAAGATGATACAATATCTTGTGTCCTGGAGCTGCTAAAAGTCTGTGGAAGGCTGTAATGTTTTTATGACTTCTGGGAGATGAGAACAAGGGGAGGGCTTGCTCACTGTCCTAAAATAACTAACCATACTTGATTCCTTTCTCCTGGAAAAACCCAGTGTGGACATGTGAGTGGAGGTCTCTGGATCGGTTTGAGTTTATGTATTATTTGTGTTTTGGCACCTGAACACGTTTGTGCCTGTTTAAGTTATTCCAGATGCACAATCTGAACCTGTGCCATCATGTTTGAAGAGTCCATTCTGAAAAAGTACCACAATGATCATCCCAAAGTGTTCATCTCATGTTGTCAACACATATCAAATTAGCCTTCTTGGTGTCATTTGATTGTGTGTCTTTAAGTTAAATAGTTACTTACTCACATGTTTGTTTTTGTTTTGGAGCTACAAAACACAGGTATCAGAGATGTCCTTTTCATTCAGAGCTTCATAAAAGGTGATCCCCTACCCTACCCCCAGCATCCTTAGTAGAGTGCTGAATCAGACTGCCCTCCCTTTTTTCTAATGCCTGACCTATTTGACTCCCGTTAGCCTTTTGAACTTCTCTACACAACTGCTGACCTTTGGTTTCATTTAAGTTGACTTACCACATATCATATTGAGTCAAACCTTCCATATTTGAAACTGATGTCATAGATCCTTTCAATAATTCTGAAGTTGCACATGTATATGCTACAGCCAAAGCAATACAGACATCAGTTTATGCTGTTGCTTTAAAGGAATGAGTTATTCAATGTTTAAGATTAGTATGAAGTCATAACAAGACTGGTTTGGTTTCCTAATCAGAAGATTACAGAGTTGATCTATAACCCATCTTGCAAACTTCAATAAAGGCACTGTCATTCATGCTACTTCCACAACCAGACATCTCTCACATTTCCACGGTCACACTGAACTAAATCCATAATAGAAACCACATCTTCCTGATCATATTTTGCTCCATTGCAAAACCAACTCATAAAGGATCTGTTCATGAGAAAGGAGGACAGCATATTTTCTCAATTTTCTCTGGTGGTTTCAAACCAGAGAAGTTATATTTCACAATATCTTGTTCCTCTGTCCTCACCCAACAGTGAAGAGGTTGATTATTCCTAGGGACACTAGAGTTGACTATTTCAGAAAGTTATGTTTTTACAACAGGCATTGTCCATGGCGGTCCAGATTATATTGTTAAACTATTTATATGGGCTTTTATTGAAATTGTGATAAACTTGGATGGATGGATGGATGGATGGATGGATGGATGGATGGATGGATGGATGGATGGATGGATGGATGGATAGATAGATAGATAGATAGATAGATAGATAGATAGATAGATAGAT